TTTGTTACTCTTATATTAAAATGTCACATTCTTGCAAAGTTTTTCTGTTTCATACACTACTTAGCATGTGCTAATTTTGATATTAAATTGCTACATAGAGTTTCTATATATGATTTCCCATAATTCCACATTGGTTTTAGTTTTTTTTTCAATGGAGCTTTGTAGATTAAAATAATAAAAGCATGCTTCAGCTCTTTCCAAGTAATTTATGTTTGCAGATATTCTGCCTCACATGCAGTCTCTTTTTTTTTAATTATGAAGAACCCAGCTGAGATATAATGTACTTGTCACTGTATGTTCTTTATTGCTGAGTTCATTCAAGCCTGTAGTGGATGTGGTGCTGAGAGAGTGCTGACACCAAATGCAAACACTGCTGAAAAGTTCTTGATAGTTTACTTTAGGCACTTAAAGATTAGTATATCTCTCTATGAACAAGTTTTTCATGCAGATTTGACCTTTACTCTAGGATATAATATGTCTCTTAGTTATATGTTTTCCCACCCTGCTCCTTAGTGCTTCATTCATAGTTGTCAGTACCAAAGTCATCCTTCTCCTTTGTTTCATAACCAAAATAAATTAATAAAACTCCATGAGCTTTTTGGGAAGGACGAATTACCAGAGAATTTGCTCTGGAGCGTGTATTGCAACTGTCAGATACAATCCTTGATTGTGGAATATGTTACCCTTGTTATAAGGATAGTTTAAGTTTCTGAGAAGAATGAATTATTAAGGAGTATGCATGTTTGCTACAGTTGAAAATAAAGCAGTTTTCATCTATTGGTAATGTTTTAAAGATGTTGAAGGTGTTGGTTTAATTTTTTAGCCATCAGACCAGGTGATGGATTGGTCTGGCAAATGTTTTTATATAGCTTGAAGAATGTATATTTTGTGTTAATTCTTTGAAATATGATTATATTGCTTTCCTAGAAGTGTACAGGCGAGGAGGGATATTGTCCTACAGGCAAGCACTTCAAATTGCAAGCCAATAAAAATGGTTATCAACGAACTTTTCTTGGCATTTCTTTTGAGTGATTAGAGTTCAGGAATGGCTGTATTGGATTAGATGATGGCTCCGCCTTGCTTGGAGTTGCATCTCCAACTACAGACACAGAGATGCTCACGAAGAATAAAGTAGGACAAGTGTGTATGATACTCTCTCTCCAGGTATTTTCAGTTTGGGGTATTCTCTGGATTGGATGTAGTTTCTGTATATTTAGTCAATATCAATGCGTTTTCCTTCCCATGAACTTGTGCAGTCTCTTCTTGGTCCTATTGAACTTTCAGTCACCACAACATCCTTTGGCAATAGATTCCACTGATATGTAATGCACTGTGTAAAGAACCACCTGCTTTTCTTTGTTTTGAAGCTGGCTCCTACTAGCTGCTACTTGTACAAAAGGCCTTTGGACAGGCCTGTTTGGGTAAATAAGAAGCTCCTGAAGTAATAGATCTGAACGAGGATATTCAGAATGAGTAGGGAGCCAGTAACAAATGGAAGAAAATGATCATTAGAGCTGACACTGCAAAATTAAAGTTCAATTCCGAATTTGTAAAGAATTTCTCCACCTACCTGATGATGCCATATGATTAGAGACATATTATTAAGAAAGGAAATAGGAGGATCAAGTAGTATAGACAATTTCAATGCATTTGAAGACTGACATAACTACACATGCATACATAGCCCAAATGAAATAAAATGGGACATATGAATGCTAAAGTTTGTTTTGCAAGACTAATCTTATTGTTGGTTATGATCTAATGCATGTCATGATCATTGGCCAAAATGTATTTCCTAGATAAAGAAAATGTAGTAATTTAGATGAGTTTTATTAGAGCATTTGGTACTGTCATATGACTGATCATTAGTTAGAATTAATTAAAAAACCCATCGTAACATAGATTAAAAAAATCCACCATGACTCAGAAGGGACAACAGCAGGTCACGATACAGGCCTTGAAGGTGATTATTAGTTTCTGAACTGGTTCAAGACCACTGCTGTTTAATATTTTCATGTAATGATTCTTGTGCACACAGAATGAATGTGTTAATGAAACTTGTTGATGATATAAAATTGGTGCTATTGAGGACTGGGATGTATTTATTTATGACAGAGTTGTGCTGTAGCTACTGGAAGTGTAATATGTTGTTCCATACAGAATTATATTTCAGATGATCTTTGGAGTGCCATTTCAGGAAAGGATGTAGTACTTGCATTTTATCTAGGATACTTACGGAAGTGTTTACAGATCGTGTTAAGGAAGTAGGTGAAACAGTAATGAGCTAGGAAGTTTCCACATCAGACATAGTATTTGAGTAAAATGTGATTTCTTATTTGTGTCCTTGTAATGGTTGCTTTTCACTGTAGCTATTTGTGATAGCATTTAGTGCTTCTAGGTTTTTTTCCTGCTTCACTGTTGAGTGTACAGTGACCAAAAGCATTACAAGTACCTTATGTCTCTCAGTTACTAAACATTTATAGCCATAGGAAATGATGGTCAATTAAGTACAGCTTAGAACAGGTATGAAATTATTGACTTTGTTGATCTTCCCTTACAGTCCTTCCTTAGGAAAGTGCTGAAATGTGTTTTCTAGTTATTTAGCTGCATTAGTGGTTGAGTTTGAGGCTTTTAACGTGTTTTTTCCCCAATACCTTAGGGACATGGATAACTAAGATGTTGATATAATAATGTAACATACATACTGAGTGTAATTGTTTGAGAGAGAACATATACTGTGGGGAAATATTGAATGGATCATGAAAGATGATGACCATTAGTCTTTTCTTTCAACTATTATAATTAGCTTTAGGGTGTGTTCAGATGTGATTTATGAAATTGTTTAGACTAACGCCTTCTTTGATGATGTCTGATGCAGAGAAAAATGCTGAAAAGTATCATGATAAATGCACTTTCTTTTCACTTTTGGCAACCTCCATCTTCACCAATTAAATTTTCCAGGATTGTATTGAGCTCTCTTAAAGAGCAAAGCAACAGATGGGCAGTGTCATAAATGGAAAAAAAATTTTGCTTTTCTTGGGTTTTTACACATCTAAGCTAACACAGTATTTTCAGTTATCATCATATGAAGCTAGATGTTTAAGCTTGATACTACATAATTAAAAAAATCTCTTATGAGATTAGTTGTATATGCTATTTTGTTTAGAATATTAGCAGTTAAATGTCCCTTTTTTTTTTTCTTCATAAGAATAATTGCTTCTTAAAGCTATTGGAGGCAGCTTACCGACTAACTTGAAGCCATGTAATGGTGGCCGTCGAAGGCAATAGAGAACTGTGGGAAAGATGGTGGGAGAAATAATCACAAGATATATGTAGCAGGACCAATATATATGTATATATTTATAACAATATATATAATGATATATATATATATGGACCAATGATGCTACTTAATGTGGCCTCAAGCAAAACACAACCTCATGGCCCAGAACACTAAAACCCCATATGTGGTAATATGTAAATGGAACTTAGAAGGTGCTTAGAATGTTGCTTGCCTATTAATGCAGAGATACTAGTTATATGAAAAATAATGAAATACATTTATAATTCATGATAAATAATAATACGTCACAAATTCTAATTATACTACTCTTAATTCTGACTACCTGAAAATTATAATATGTTGTTGCAACTCAAAAATCAAAGAATATATAGGGCCTAGAATATGTGAAGCCTTAAGATTCTAATCTCTCCTCTCTGGAAATCTTTTTTTGGGGGGTGGGAGTGGAGAGGTGTCGGGGGGTAGGATTTAAATTGTAAATAAACAATGTTGTTCTACTGTCTTTTGTGTATGTCTGATCAAGCCTTTATGTCACTGCCTGAGAGGTAATTCTGCAGCACTGAGCAGCTAGAAATGTTCTCTGTTTAAGAGGTATTTGAAGTTTTGCACTTTTTGCCTGTTTTGGAGCTGATGAGGTTTTTAAAAAGAACCACAGTGATAGAAGTAATGATGTGAATAATCATTATTACTTCATTCAACAAAAACTGAAAAATCACGGAAGCCTATGTGGAAAAGGATACGAAACTTGAGTATCTGTCTGCTGCAGATTCATTCTTTTGTATTAGTTTAGAAGAGTTGTAGAGTTTACACCAAGAGTTGTATTTGGCCTGTTCTATCCAAATGCCTCTACACTTTCTCCAAAATGTAACGTTCATATGTTTACCTTAAGTTTTACCTCTGCCAACTTGTTCCCATTGAGTCTAAGATTAAAAATCTTCTTTGTGTTTTTCTTAACCAATTCTGTTTTCATCTCAGCTTTCAAAGGGGGAATCAAGCCCCAGAGATAGGTCATCTGGATTGGTTGCTATCCAAGTGACTCTTCTGGGGGCCAGGCAAAACCCGCTTACATGTTTTAAGAGGTGTAGAATTTTGCTGTAATTCAGGGTTCAGTTGGATGTAAGAGATGTGTAGTGCATGTGTGTCTGCAGTTACCGTCATTTCAGTGTGTTAAAATGTGTTAAAAAGTTTGGAGACATACTGGGTGTTAATGATGCAATATTTGGGTCGTTAGCAGATTTTTTTTGAGTAGAGCTGGCTATGTGATGCTGAGGTGAGGATTGTTACTGGAATACATGTTAACTAGACTTCAAGCTGTAAGAGAAATTCGTGTCTAATTAGGAGCCTTACGTTAATGTAAAACAGTTTGTTTCTAGCATTATGAAGGTTCAGTAAGGCAAAGCATCAGCAAATGAGAGTAAGTTCAGAATATATAACTTAGGGAAAAAAATTATGCAGTTGTTTGTGGGATGTTTCTGTATTTTCTGCTCCCCTCTACAGAATATGACTTTGAGTAAATGATACTGTTCTGCTTCTTCATGCTAGCAATATTTCCTTCCTAATTAGCACACAATTAGTGCTTTATGTTTGCTGATGGTGGTGTAAGTTGCTAAAAATGACAGTGCACAACCCTATAGCTGGAAATTTTTTTTTGTTTGTTTTGTTTTTATACAACTGGTTTTCTCTTTCTTTTTTTCCCCAGGAGTGGCAGAACTCTATACAAAAGAATGCTGGACTTGCCTTTATTGAGCTTGTCAATGAAGGAAGGTAAGTCACAATACTTGATAGCACCTCTGCCCTAGCCTTCAGGAGGTGGTGTGGCTTGAAACTTTTTTTAAATAATTTTTCTTCTTCCTCTTTGTGTTACTTTCTTTGAGTTTTACAAGCCAGATTTCACATTCTTTAATACTTCAGTCCAGTTCTGATACTGAATATGGGATTTTGCAGAATCTGAATGCTCTCTAGTTTCATTAAATATTTCACTTATCAGTGTGTCATGGATTTTCTTTTTTCCTGTCCTTGTGCACTGGTTAACGTTGAAACTATAATTTGTATTCAGCTAATCTCTTGAGGAAGGGAATTGATATTTGGAAGACATAATAGCTAGGAATTGTAAGATAAGCCTCTGTCTCAGGAATTAGATTTCAGTTTGCTCATTTATTTCCAATCTACCTCATAAAATAGAAAGGAATTCTTTAAGGTAAAAGAAATAATCTGTTAATATTACCAATTAGTTTAATGTTCTATCCGTAACTATATATGTATATTAGTGGAACTTATAGAAAATGGCAGAGCAGTTGGTGAGACCATGCTCTTCGACTTGCAGTGGCTATTCACAACCATCAATATTTTGTTCATTAGGAATTGATTGTTGAGGCTGACCAAGAGCAATATTTACTTTTTCTAAAGGATTTTTTTACAGGTGTCATAATGATGAGTTAGCTAAGGAGTGTTATAAGAAATGCCATTTATCTAAACCTAAATTCGGTTAGTGAATAACTTGGGCTAGTAAGAATCCCAGTAGAAAATACATTTTACAAGATTAAAACAGCTACTGAATTAAAACCAAAATAATTTATCAGATAAAGTCCTAAATAAGTACTTTTACATCATTGTAGGAATATGGGAAATAGCTGTTGGGGATTTTCACTTTAAAATGTATAGATGCTTTCAAGATACGTAAAAATAATGACCATTTTCATGGTTGCATTTCAGTTTGTGGTGAGGGAAACACTGTTCTCGGGCAGAAAAAACATTTTGCTACTAGTCTTGATCCCAAGGGCCAAGGTAAAGCAACAAGGGTGTTCAGTTACAGTGTTAAGATCTAGCCTGTAGTTGTTTCCTATTATGTGAGGCTGACCTGTCTTGACCTTACTTATAAACTGCCTGCAATAAATTTGACCCTTGATTAATGTTTTATTAGCATAGATAACATAAAGATCCCACACACATGTAAAGCGCAATGTAAGATTTGTCTGTGTAAGATGATTATCATGAACAAATCAGTTGCTGAGACAGAGTTGTAAGTAGTAGTTACTTGGTAGTTACTCAGCTTGTCCAGGTCAAGCTTTCAGAGAGCATTCTATCAGTAAACTGTTTGGAATTGACTATTTTCTTTTAAAAACCTGCAGTGCCCATCACAGACAGATGGAATCACTCCCCCACCTCCATAAACAACATCAATAACTTACAGTCTAGCCTTAGCAGAGCGGTTGTCTGAGGGACAAATGATCCCTTGAAGACTGAAAACTGTGGTTTTGGTTAGCAGAAAATACCTAAGTAATTGTTACTTCATTTCATTTCTGACTCTTAGCAGAGTTGTTTTTTTAAAAAGTGGGTATGTAACTTTCATTCTGGGCAAGAGGAGAGGGGATTAATTTCTTAAAAATGGTTCCTTTTATCTGTCTCCATTTTCCTCCATTGCTGTTTATAGAAGCCTTTAAACTTATTGCTGAATTGATCATTGCTGTGTTTTGTGGCTTTTCAGAATCCACTCAAATGAAACTATTATCCCTCATATGACATGAACTATATTCCAGAGCTACCTTTTTTTTCCCCTCATGCAGGTTGCACATTATTTTTCTTGCACATATACTAATACTTACACAAAAACATTTCAGGCTTTGTATTTCATTGTATTTGTTATTTTAATGTATTTTTTGCCATAGCGTTATAATCTTAAAAACTCCAAAAGCTGTAATCTTTTAATTAAAACTGAAAATAGTCAAATGATACTGATTTAGATGTTAACTGCATAATTGTATAATAAAAGTTGAATTTTTAAAATGTTTCTGTAAGTACTCAGAAAAGGAAAACAAGGTAGTTGTGCAGAGGGCAGACCTGATTTCAGCAAAGGAAATTGACATGTGGTGTGTTAGAATAAATAATATTAAGGATTGGAAGAACTGCCTGGACTTGGTAGAATCAGAGAATTGCTATTGTCTGCCATCTTGGTGCAAAAGTCTTGGTCATCCTATAACCTTTGTAAACCAGGGTTTTATTCCCAGTGTTCGTTACTAATTTCTTTTGACTAATGCCAGAGTATCTTCCAGTCTGAAGTGTGTTCTACGGTTTTTGTTTATCAGTCAAATAAGACAACTGGAAAAACTTGCTGGCAGAGAGAGATCTAAATATCTTCTTATACTTGCCTTCAAATATATTTTCTGCTTTTATGTGAAAGGTATGAATGTACCTCTCTCTCTCACAGCAGTTGGAAGTTTTATATTTAGGCTTGCCATGTTTTGGCTAGGATTCCCTGGACAGAAATATGTGCAGAAAGTTTGCCTCTGGGACTCATAAGATCTGCAGTGTATGTGCTGCATTCAGAATGTGTTGGTCTGAATTTCATCATGTTCACCAGTAACTGATGTTGTACACATACAGTTGCTCCCAGGCTTTCCAGATCTATCAGGTCCACTGCACATTTATAGCAGAATTGACTTGTTTGTGCCCAGTGAAACTTTGAATCTTGAACTGAAAAAAAATATAAACAGCAGGCTAGTATGTGAAAATGCAGAACCGTAACCCTACCTAAAACTGAAATACACAACTGAAGTCTTTTGAAGGCCAGGTTACAAGCATAGGAACAGAAAAAACAAACTGTGTAGAAAAACAGGAATGTACAGAATGTAAGTGAAAAACTAAAGGAGCAGATATCGGAAAATAACCTTTCTGTGCATGAACTGTCTATTTCAGAACGCTGCGCCTTGAACATTAATCTGTTTTTAATCGAAATTAATGTGTTGTTCACTATTATTGTAACGTCTGGGAACACTATTAATGCCCTTAGAACCTTGTTGAAAAGGTGCCTGTACCCACTGCCTCTCCACGTACTGAGCCATCGGTGCGGCAGAAGCATAGGTTGTGAAAGGTTTTCCTTAGCCTGCTGTACTTCTGTCAGTCTAGACTGCAGTCTGTGCTTGCCTTTCACCTGTGGGTCCTCCCTCTAGGGCTCCCTTTGGAGCCTTAATCCAAGAACTTTCTGATGAGGGAATTTGTTCACCAGAATCATCCTTTAGGTGTGATTTGGTTTACTGTTGTAGCCACTCCTCTCCTTAGGTGACTTCCAAGGTGTCCAGGCAGGTTCCTTTTTTGCCCCCCTGAAACTGTTTCCTCCTTATGCAGGAGATGGCCAAATGATTATTTCTGAACTGGAGAAAAACCAAACCAACCAACCAATCAAAAACCAAGCAAAAAAAAAAGGAAGCTTTGTTTTACTTCCTTGCGTGTACAAATGTCTCTTTTGTTAGACTCTTATTTCCTCTACCTGACTAGTTAACAAACAACTCCTTTGCTCTGTGAAGGTTAAAACTGTCCTGTCACTTTGATTCATTAGCACACTTTAGTGTGAAACATCTCTTATGGTAGACCTTGTTTTCTGTATCAGTCAGCGCACTAACAAACGTACTCGAGCTTGAGTCTGGCCATGACAGTTATTATCCCCCTTGGGTTGATAATGGGTTTGGCATGGCAGGGGTTGAGGGATCAGTCTCCTAAGCATGCTGCAGCAATTATTCTTTCAGATTTTCAGTTGAGGAGACTCTTGAAGATGCTTAATTTTAGTTTTCTCACACATAGTTTTCTTGGGCATCTGAAGGATGAAGCGCTGTGTTCTATACGTATTTGTTTATACATCTGTAAATGAATATTCAGGCAGTGGTTGCTTTAAAAACTGTCACATAAAGTTTGGTTGAAAGATAACCTCATTAAGGTAGCAGAATACATGTAGAATTTCCCCTCCTTTTGCCCTTTCATATCTTTAACAAAACAAACAACCCAAAACTTAAGGATTCACAAGTGTATCCAGGAGAAGCAGAACTAATGAAGTTTATTGTGCTGTAGCTTTTTCTCATTACTAGATTGTCTTTTGTCTAATGAGGGGGGAAATCTAATCAAAATTCTCCTGTTATAATAGAGCATTCTCCTCCTGTATTGAATTTTCTGCAGCTTTCAGTGCAGTTGAAAACAGCTTTTTTTGCTTTTAAGGATGCTTGCAAGGGTTTCTGTCCTCTGTGGGATAAAAATCTTGTATAAAAATAACATTTTTTTTATAAACTAGCCTTTTATTAAAAAAATTTGTTGGCATTATCCAATGAATTCAAAAGTTACTGGGAGAGGAGGAAGACAGCATGCAAATCTAATATCCTTAGCAAGTAAAAATTCCACCAACCAATCGAAAAAAAAAACCCAAACCTCTCCAGAAATAACCAGATGTAACCGGTATTACTCTCCCAGTACATAACATGCAGCAGTATAAAATCTGGAATGCTGTAATCGTCTGCATTTCTGTAGCTTTTTTTCTTTAGAGGGAACTGTACTAAGAAAATTTCAACATATGTCACCTGCTGTTCCTTTTCTTGAATTGTATATATTACTTTTGACTGGCCATAGATGCAAATATTTTTTAATATTGGAATAGTTGGCCAATTACTTGCACACTTTCCTAACGGAAAATAGGGGACAGATGTAGGCTGCCCCATTCAATTGTCTTTCATTTGCAATAGTGCGGTCACTCTTGAGGAATGAATGTTAGAGAATGTGTTGCCATAGGAGCAACTACTGTGATGGAAAATAGTTAGAAAGATATAGCTATTAATGAAAATATGGGTGATGACTGACAGACTTATGCTTTGTGCATAATTGACCAAAAAAGGCTCCGGAAAAAAATGATAAATCCAGTCACATCCAAACTAGAATTGATTACTACCAGTCTGCTCCTCTTATTGCAGCCGCCTTGCCCTGATATTCTGATAACACAGAACCTGCAC